TGGCGGTGAGAAGGGCGGTGGGTCAGCGGATCTCCCCGTTCGCGACGCCGTGGTTCAATGCGCTCTTCCAGGCGACGCAGGCGGAGATGCGGTTGGAGAAGGCCACGTCCTGCGCCAGCTCCGCCGCGGCGGCCCCTCCGAGGACAGGAGGGGCAACCTGGGAGCGCCCCCGGAGGTGAAGCAGAGGGTCCGTTGGAGCGCCGATGCTTCGACGCGGCGCTGCGAGGCGGCGGCGCGCATGCAGCGCGAGGAGGCGCGGCTGCCGCGGGAGGTCCGCGAGCGGGCGCTCGCGGCGACGGGCAGCCTGCCCGCCGCCTGTGCGGGTTGCAGCCGGGCGTCGTCCGGCGGCGCGGCCACTGCGTCGAGGTCTTCGCGGGTTGCAGCTGCCTCTTGCGGGAGCTCGCGCGGAGAGGCTTCGCAGTCTACGCCTTCGATTTCGCGCGTTCAGCTGAACGGGGCCTCCTTAGGGCTGGCGCCTGGCATGCCCTCGTCACCCATGCCTGTGCCCCGCCGTGTCGCCTCGTCTGGCTGCGGGCCCCCTGCGCCACCTGGCCCAGGCCCCGGGGGGGGGGGGGTCGGCCCCGCCCCCCTCGGGGATTCGGGGCCGGGGCTGCTTGGCATCGCCAACCCCGGTGAACATTATTTTAAGAAGGTCCGCTTAGGCAACGCGCTCATGCGCGCCTCGGCGGCTGTTGCTCGCCCGTGTCTGGAGGCCAGAATTCAGGTGGCCATCGAGAGCCGATTACATTGTTGATTTGGCCTACGCGGTAGTTTTATGATTTGAGGCGTCGTGGGACTGAGATGCCCATTGCGAGCTTCTGTCGGTGCGGGGCCCCGTCGCAAAAAATCGAGCCCTTGCTCGCTTCCGGGCGCCCGCAGCTCGCAAATGCCCGCAAATGCGCGATGCAACGAGGCCACTGTTCGGCCATGCATAAGAAGCATGAGCAACTCGTCGGGAAGACGACAGCTGGAACATTCAAGACGCTAGTATCACAACCTTTATCCACAACTGTTTGGTGAGCATGTGTGTGCCTTCTTTTTTGACGCTTCGCTTTTCGCCTGCGGCCAGTTCCAATCTTGGGGCCGGGGTTTTCGACGTGCATTTCAGAGCCTTCGATCAGCGTAAAATTCAGCTGGCCTCCTCTCAGGCCCTCCAGTGCTATCAGATATGCTGCTCATCTCTGGCGGTGATGAAGGAGCAGGGCCGCGTGGGTGTGCATGCTCGGGAATGTCGTCTGCGGGTTGCGAGCCACGCCGTCTTGAAGGGCATCGGTCCGTTCCGCGGACGCGATGGCTCCAGTTTTCCTGGTTATCCCCAAGCCCACCCCTCTCCCCGCCTTTTCAGCAAAGCCGAGGGTCTCGACGCGCATTTCGGCGCCTTCGATCAGCGCGAAATGCATCTGACCTCTCAGGCCCTTGAGTGCTATCGGATATGCTGCTCAGTTCTGGCGGTGGTAAACGAGCAGAGTCACATGAGAGCGAAACGTTCTAGCATTCGCCAGGTTTCCAGGAGTTCCGCCTGTCCAACTCGGTCTGCAGACAACGACGGTTGCTAGAGAATCGAGCGCGTCCTGCACCAATCCTATGATGACCTTACTACCGACTTGTAGCGGACCGCAGTGCATGCGCTCGCGCACGTTTTGCGGCGTCGCGACCGCACGTGCAGCGACGCGGCAGACGCAAAGGTTTGGGATATACGGGTTGATTAGCTCGTGAGCACATAGGGGCGATCAGTATTAAACTGATTGTTGTTGTTATTGTATTGTTTTGTATCTGTTTGTCGTCGTTGCTGTAGCCGTCGTTCTTGTCGTCGTCGTCGTCTCTGTCGTTGTCGGCGCCCTACTCGCGGAGGGGTGCGTTCACTGTGGATTTGATCGAAGTCATGGATTGTTCTTGGTAGTGGACTCGAAGCACGATGGTGTGAACAAATTGGGGTTGCTTGCGTCGTTGTCGTCGTCGTCGTCGTCGTCGATTGTCGTATGTTTTTCCGTGGGGCGCGACCCGTCGGTTGTCGACGTTGAGTTTGTTGTTGTGGTTGTCGGTTGTTCGCGTTGTCTTATACGTCGTCGACGTCGCCACCGCCGTCGTCGCGTCATCCGCTCCATTCACGGATGGGCGCGCCTGCCTTGAAATTGAAATCTCGGAGTGGTTTTGGTTGTCAGCCCGAGGCGCGGCGATGGCAAAATGAGGTCGGCTTGCGCCAGGGTTGTCGTCGACGTTTGTTTGCCTTCTCTTGGTCGCCAGTCGTCGGTTGTTATTGTTGTCTGCGTTGTAGTCGTTGTTGTTGTTTTTGCTGTAGCTTCCGTCCTTGTCGTCGTTGTCGCTGTCGTTGTCGGCGCTCTACTCGTGGGCGGGCGCGTTCACCGTGGATGCGATGTCATGGGTTGGCTTTGGTAATGAACTCGAGGCGCGAGGTATGGAACTAATAGGGGCGGTTTGCGTCTTTGTCGTCGTCGTCGGGGATGCTGCATTCGGAGGTCGCGAGTCGTCGGTTGCCGCCGGTGCTTTCGTTGTTGTCGTTGTCTTTTGTTCACGTCGTCCTCGTCGTCGTCGACGTCGCCGTCGCCGTCGTCGCGTCATCGGCTGCATTCGCGGACGGGCGCGTCTGCTTTACAATTGAAATCTCAGCGCGGCTTTGGTTTTCAAACCCGAGGCATGCGGATGGTTTGTGCGCGCGGTTTTAAAGGCGTTTTGGCGCGTGGGAGCGGCGCTAGGATAGAGGGGCGGCGGGGAAACAAGAAGGCGGGCCGACGACGGAGGTGGAGCTGGAGGAGGTTAGATTGGGATTGGGGGGGAGGAAGAGATGAGCAAATTGTGTTTTCTTGAGGAAGTGGTGGGGGTCACGATTGGTGGTCGCTCTTGGCAGTGCAAGAAGTCTCGGCGACGTTTGCTTATTCTTCGTCTTGCGCCGGTCATCTCGGGATCTGCTGCTATTCTACCTCTTAGCGCGTTTTTCTCGGCTTTGGGCATCTGTTCATTTGTGATGTTTGTTGTTGCGCGATTCCCTGCCGTAAACGAGGGACGTTCTGGAAGGGCGACCCGTGCGCGTTGAGATGTGACGGCGTGGTTCTTCAATCGACGGATCCCAGCGGCGCTGATAAAATTCTCGTTGGGACGGGGTGAAGTTCCGTTGTGTTTTTGGGTGATGCGAGGGTTTGTCGGAGATGTCGGATTCGATGGGGCTCAGCTTTCAGGATTCCTGGTCTTCGCTTCTCTGCTTTTTTCGGGTTTCGCCTGCCGTTGGTTCTGGGTTAGCTCCTTGGAGATTCTGGGTTTCGGTCCCTGGTTCCGGGTTTCGGCTGGGCCGATTCCGGGTTTCGCCTCGTTCTGGGTTTTGGGTTCCGCCTCAAAAAATTGTGGGTTTCACGCTCTGACCGAACGTTGTGTAAGGGCCGCCCTCCATCAGCGAACCCCTTGAGGGTTGCATCATGCTGGCCGCTGGCTTTGCTGGGAAATGATGCGATATCGTGGCTTCGACAAATAGGCACCCCTCCAGCTTTCTGTGAACTTTGGACCGTGCCGACGAACAATCACACATTTTGGTTTGATTCCTGTTCGGAAGCCAGATATTGAAAGCGCGCCGCCTTCCGTCCGCGCAGCTATCGGAGATTTCGAGCCGACCGGAAGGAAGTCTCAGGCGAACCAGGTTTTGACAACGATGCACCTTTCATCCATGGCGTTGCGCTCATTGTTTAGATTTGCACACGCGCAGACACTACTTCAGCGCTCGAGCAAGGCTGCAGAAACATGTATTTCGTGGGCGCCTCATGCGAGAATCGTGCAATGGGACAAGCAGCTGTTCTCCATCTGCGCAGTGTCGTAGGAAGCTGCAGGGCCACGCGTTGCGAGGAAGTTTCAGGCGATAACCAGACATTGAAGAACTGCCCGCCCTCCACCAGCTTCGGGGCTTAGGGGCATGCAGTTGCCGGACACCTCTGGCGAGAGCCACTTGTGGAAATTATGCGCCCTCCACGTGCGGAACTCTCGGGAGTCCCCAGCGTTGGGGACATGCGTTGTCAGGAGTGTTTCACGCTAGCGGCATGGCCGACGCGTCGTGCGTTGGGACGAGGAGGCCTTGATGAGGCCCAGGGCTCGGCCGTCACGCGGTTAGGAACATGATGAGCAGCATGAATAACTTGAGATGTGGCTGGCTGGTGGTCCTGCCCAAGGGATCGCCCCGAATTACGGCAGAACGCAGCGGGAACCCGTGCCTAGAAACACCCTGCGTTCTGCCGGGGTGTTTGCCTTGTTCTTGCTGGTCTGCGTTCGGATTGAAGGCTTGCAACCTTCGCGAGGAAACCGCAGCTGGTTGGATACCCTGAGTGCCTTGGCGGTGGTTTGCTCTGCGCGAGCCATCCGTGCACCGCCTGGCCCAGGGTACCCTGAGCGTCGTCGTTGACAGCCGCTGAGCACGAAACCCAACCCTAGCCCAGGAAATATCGTCGAGTTTCGGGTCTGGGTTTAGTTCGACCCGCTTCCTGTGTATTGGACTTGATTGTGCGATGGGTGTCGACGGGTTTTTCGCGTATTCGACGCGTCGTGCCGACGCGGCAGCGACCCCGCCGCGGGCGTTCAAGGTTGAACGCAGCCTCTGGCCCAAAATCGGCCCATGTCGTATCAGTCGCCTTTTGGTCTCTTGCCCGCGCTTCCCTCGGGACCAGAGCTTTTTCAAGTTTTGGTGTTCGCTGCCCTGTCGTCGGGTTTGCCTGGGTATGCTTCTTTGATGGCCCTCGTGAGGGGCAACGGATTCCTTCTCCTCCTCCTCCTCCTCCTCCTCCTCCTCCTCCTCCTCCTCCTCCTCCTTCCTCCATCCCTCCCTCCCTCCCCTCCCTCCCTCCCTCCCTCCCTCCCTCCTCCTCCCCGATGCCAGAAAAGAGCTGCCAGCTCGGCCCGATTTGGGTTGCCGAGCCCGCGCCATCGGCGCTCGCGCGCCGCCCGCGGCCCTCGCGGCCGCCCTTCCTGTCCCTCGCCGCGCTTCGTCTCGCTCCCTCAGGGCCGCGATGGATCCGGAGCCCCTGCGGCGGCGTGCTCGCCGGCCGAACCGGACGGCCGCTCAGCGCCGCGCGCAATATGCGCGGGCGCAAGGCCGAGTGGCGCAGCATCTGCTGAAGGCCTTCGACGAGATCGTGGGCAACCCTGGCCAGCAGCTCACCTTCCTCGGCAAGGCGCTCCGAGAGGCGCTCGCTGGCGGCCCAGATGCAGGACCCGATGATGCTGTTGCAAGTGCTGAGCCCGAGGACGTCCCGCCACACGGTGAAGGTGGAGATGACGAGCGGGATGCACCTCCTCCTCAGCCTGGAAATGCTGAAGCCAGGGGAGATGGGGGGAGCCATAAGGGCGTTGCCCTGGCACTGACCCACCCTCCCCTGGCGACGGCTGCAGCGGCGGGCGCGGCGGCGGCGGCGGCGTTTGCCACCACGGGCACGCAGGAGGGCGAGACCAGCATCGTGGAAATGGTCCACGCCCTCCGCGCGGAGATCGCCGCTGCAACGGGCCAGGCGGGGGCCCCCACGGCCAGCGCCGTGCATGCAGTGGAGCGTGACGACACCGAGCGTGAGGAGAAGGCGGTGGCGGCGCATGAGGTGCTGCGGGGCGTGCAGGGCGGCCATTTTGGTACTGCACGCGGCGGAGGAGGAAGAGGAGCTGATACGGGGTCCGCGGCTTCCGCGACCGCGACCTCTCCTGCCCCAGGGGCTGCTGCTGCAAGGAGGCCACTCCCAGGCATTTCGCCGCCCACTGACGAGCAGTGCGAACAGCAGTGATCGCTGAACTGGCTGTGGTACGCGTTCACCGTCGCGGCCCTCGTCGTGCTCGGTGCGGTAGAGTTCTTCATCGTCTCCTACTCCTTCCATGTGCTCGTGGTGCGCTACCATGTGCTCGCGTTCGCCGTGAAGGCCAGGGGAGAGGTAGCGGTTTGTTACATGACTTCGTCATTGGTCTCATCTCATCTCATCTCATATCATCCCCGATGCCAGAAAAGATCGTAGCGCCGTCGCTCGCTCCAGGCCGAACGGTCCAGGCGGCGTCGCGAACCGACGCTGGGGGTCGTCACGGCGCGAGCCCGCCGCTCGCGAGCGCGAGCCCCCGGGCCGCGGTCCCCTCGAGGCGCTCCCGGCCCCCAGCGGGAACAGGGGCGGCCCGCGGGGGCGCCTTAGGGCTGGGGCTCCCCGCGCGCGGGCGCAGCGCAGGCGCGGAGCGCCTCGTGCCTCACGGGCGCGTCCTCGTGGAAGGAGGAGGAGGGGGAAGGGGTGGGCAGACGGAGGAGGGAAGTTGAGGAGGAGGAGGAGGAGGAGGAGGAAGAGGACGAGGAGGAGGAGAGGGAAGAGGGCAGGAGGATGGAGGAGGAGGAGGAGAAGAAGGAGGGAGGAGGAGGAGAGGAGGAGGAGGAGGAGGAGGGAGGAGGAGGAGAGGAGAGAGAGGAGGAGAGGAGGAGGAGGGGGAGGAGGGAGGGAGGAGGAAGACAAGAGGAGGAGGAGGAGGAGGAAGAGGAGGAGGAGGAGGAGGAGGACGACGAGGACGACGACGAGGACGAGGACGAGGAGGAGGAGGAGAGGAGAGGAGGAGGAGGAGGAGGACGAGGACGAGGACGAGGACGAGGACGAGGACGAGGACGAGGAGGAGGAGAGAGGAGGAGGAGGAGGAGGAGGAAGAGGAGGAGGAGGAGGAGGGTCGGAGCGGGAGTCTGGAAGGGCGGAGAGGCGGGAGAGGATCGAGCAGGGAGGAGGAGGGTCGGCAGCAGCCCTCGCGCCCGTCCCGGGCGGGCGCGCGCAGAGAGGGGCGCCGCAGGAGGCCGGCGCGGGCCCCTCGAGCCAGCCCTCCTGGCCGCCCGCGGAGCCCGCGGCGGCGTGGCGGGAGCACGAGGCCGACGTTGGGGAGGGACCCCATGATCCCCGATGCTCGCCTCGCGCCTCGCCCGCGGCCTCGCCTGCGCCTCGCGCCTCGCGTCGCGCCTCGCCCGTCGCCCTCGGCATCGAGCCTCGCCTCGCGCCGCCACGCGCGCCTTGTCCTCCGCCGCGCGCCTCGCCGCGTGTCCCGCCTCGCGCCGCAGCTGGCGCCTCGCCACGCGCCTCGCCTCGGCCTTTGCCTGGCGCCTCGCCTTTCGCCTCGCCCTTCGCCACGCGCCTCCCCAGAGTTCCTTCACGCAGGGCGTCTTTATCGCTCGTCTTGGGGCCCCGGGACCAGCGCAGGTCGGTCGTGCTTGAGACATGCTGCAGGACGATACAGATGTATCGGACGAGGCTAGGACGAGGATACATCCGTTCCAGAAAGTCCGGGAACGCTCTCAGAGCGTTCCAGAACGCTTTGCGGTTGCCACGGCGCCCGAGACATCTTCCAGAGCCACGCCATCTCAGATATCCTCGGTTTATCCTCACCCGATTTGATCTTCGTCCTAGCTTCGTCTTGCGTAGGGTTCCGGTCGTGTTCTCGTTTGTCCGCGGGCATTTTTGTCCACAGCGTCGGAGCGTCGGACCTCAGGGTTCGGCTCTCGCGCCTCGCCTCGCCCTTCGCCGCAAGCCTTGCCTTTCGCTTCGCCTCGCGCCCCAACCCAGAAGGGGTTCCGAAGAATTACAGTCGAAACAGATGATAAGGATGGTTACCTTTCGGTGATCTTGAGGACGTGTGGCGTGTGTTTCGCGCATCCTTCATGCAGGCCGCGGCGCGCTTGTTCCTTCTGTTTGGACCTCCGGGGGTACTTCTGCCGGGCCCCAGGCTCATCAGGAATGGTTCTGCGGAGGGAAGCTCCATTGGGGAATCGGTCGAGAGCTGGGGTCGCGGGCTGGAACAAAATCACATCGTAGGATGTATGAGGGGTGCACGAGGCCCGAGCAAACTCAGCGGGCGTAAAGTGGAAGCGTGGTGAGAACGGGACGGGTTTGTAGCGAGAATCGTGCCAGAATGTAGGGAGGTTGCGGCGAGCATGTAACGAGCACACACTGGGGACATGATAGCTGTGCGATCGGCAGGACTTGAGTGCCGGATGCTGAGGGAACGCATCCTCGCATTGCCATGCGCATCTCGTGTTCTGTGAGCGTATGTTCTTTGTGCCCATCTGCCTGCGAGAAATCTCGCCACCACTAGAGCACAACATCGGAACCCAGACATGCGACGTTTTGATTTTTGAATGCGCGGTCCCCAGAAGTCCCGACCCTTTCCCCGGGTCCAGATTCTCATCCTGAGTCTTGTTTGACGGTCCGGGGGCCCGGCGAGGGCCCCCAGAGGCTGAAAACGGCCGAAAACCTCACGTCATGAGTTTTTGTGACGACGCGATCATGTCTGGGAAGGCATGGATGGTGGTCCTGCCGAGCCCTCCCGGAGCAGGCTCGGAAAAGCCTCAGGAGGGCGTCCCAGGGAAGCCACGAAACGAAACTGAGAGATTGCCAAACGGGGGATCCTGGCCCACGGTGCCTCTGCCTTTGCTCACGCTTCGGAGCCCCTTCGACCCTCCTCCTTCTCCTCCTCCTCCTCCTCCTCCTCCTCCTCCTCCTCCCTTTCCTCCTCCCTTTCCTCCTCCCTTTCCTCCTTCCTTTCCTCCTCCCTTTCCTCCTTCCTTTCCTCCTCCTCCTTCCTTTCCTCCTCCTCCTACTCCTCCTCCTCCTCCTCCTCCTCCTCCTCCCTCTTCTCCTCCTCCTCCTTCTCCTCCTCCTCTCCTCCTCCTCCTCCTCCTCCTCCTCCTCCTTCCTCCTCCCCCTCCTCCCCCTCCTCCCTTTCCTCCTCCTTTCCTCCTCCCTTTCCTCCTTCCTTTCTTCCCCTTCCTCCTTCCCCTCCTTCCTTTCCTCTCCTCCTTCCTTTCCTCCTCCTCCTCCTCCTCTCCTCCTCCTCCTCCCTCTTCTCCTCCTCCTTCTCTCCTCCTCCTCCTACTACCTCCTCCCCTCCTCCCCCTCCTCCTCCTCCTCCTCCTCCTCCTCCTCCTCCTCCTCCTCCTCTTGCCGCGAAGGATGCTCTCCGAGGCCAGCTGGGCCTCTCTGGAAAGGCTCGGGCCACCCTGGCACGTCCGAGAGAAGGTCGCCTCACGGCGCCAGGCCACTCTTGCCGCCCGATCTCCGGGCCGTGGGGTGGAGTGGGGCGGAGCGCGTCGCTCAGCAGGGCGCGACCTAAACTGTTTTTTTTATATTGATTTCGAGGGCCCTTTTGGTTTCGATGTCGTCTCGCAGCAAGGGCGGGACGACGACAGCACGAGGGAGAACGAGAGCACAACGACGACAGAAATCACTCTCTAGGTCGAGCTCTGGTGCTTAGCATTGCGCGTCCGGCTGGAAACAGGCCAGGATCGGAAGAGTTCGCCCGCCGTGTCTGTAGATCTTGGTCGCGCGGGCAGCCCAGGGGATTCAGGAGGACAGTTCTCGGGTTGGGAGCATGGGGTTGGGAGAGATAAGGATGTCCTTACCCGTAGGCGGACGAAGGTACCGTTCATTGCGTCCAGATGCTCTTGCTCATGCCCGTCACCCTTCCAAGCCCTTCCTCCTTGCACGAAAGTTGTTCTCCTCGAGGATGTGGGCCCAGCTGCGGTGGCCGACCCGTACGGCGACCCCGACGATTTCTGGCCGGAGATGCCAGACGCGCTGGAGGGAAAGGGGCTGCTCGGGATCGGTGCCGGCCGCGCCAGCGGGAGGGTGCCGTGGCTGCGGCGCGCCGTGCCTGCCCAGGCCTGGCTGGCGTGGCGGCGTCGTGGCCACCGATGCCTGACATTCCGAGCCTGCAAGCCCAGCCCCCCTCGGGTACTCCAGATTTCGTAATATAATAAAGGGAGGGGGGTCTCATTTCGGGGGGGGGTCTCTTCCAGGCTATCTTGGAGGGCCTGGGGGGTCTGGGGACGATGTTTTGGAGGGTTCTCCCACGGGGGAGGTCTGAAATGGACTTGGAGGGTCCAGACCCCCTCCCTTTGATTACGAAATCTGGAGTAATGAAGAGGTCATGACGGGATGGTTTCCTGTATTTTCGGCCTCTGAGGGCTCTCGCCGGCCCTCGGGACCGTCAGAGAACGGGTCAGGATGAAGAACCGGTCGAGGCGAATCGGTCGAGACCGCTGAGGGTCGACGTTATGAACAAGCAATTACGTCGGGGGTCTGGTAAGCAAGGGTTCTCAACACCAGCGGTTTGTTTTCTCGTGCGTTTGGGGGGGAGGCCGCTGCCTGTCCAAGACGAGGGCGCCCAGGGCGCCCCATTCACGCAGCGAGGGTGAAGCAGCGCCGAAAACATCCACTGCCCAGCGCCACGTAGCTGGTCGATGTGCTGCTGTGAGATCATGAGCCCGCCTGGGTGCGAGTAAGCGTTGTGCGCAACGGATGTTTTTTTTCGTTTTTGTTTGTTTTCTGGCTTCCAAAAAACAGCCATGGTTTTTGATTCGTGTTCGGTCTTCGAGCTTGGAGAGTTTAATCTAAAGACAGCTCGAGCACGAAAGTACAGAGAGCAACGGCGTCACCCGGGGCGGGACGCGAGGAATAAATGCAGCCGGAAACAGCCGCTGCAGATGGGCAAGGATTGTTCAGTTGAGAGAGTTGAACACGTGTTGGCAACGCATTGGAATAGGAAAGAACATGGCGCGGGCGGGCGAGGGGGTCAGGCGGAGATCGGATGACGTGTACCGACACGGCGCAGAACCTTGCAGGGACAACTCAAACAGCAACGTATGCTCTTGCTCAAGCAAGACGTAACTGGGGCGAATACGACAATTGCCATCAGAAGTGAGCATGTCAGGCGGAGAGAAACGAACGCCTTGGCCTTCTGGACAGCCATATAAGCCATGTGCTGTGCAACAGGCTGCATGACGTAGCCGCTTTGTGGGGGTGGGGGGGGCTTCAATCTTAAATCGACCTATCGACCTAGGGCGACTTCAATCTTCAATAGTCCTATCGGCCTTGCAAGGGGGGGGCTTCAATCTTCAATCGGCTTTGCACAAGGGTGCCGCTATCGACCTTCAATCTTCAACCTCCGACTTTCCACCTCCACCTACCAACCTCCAACCGCAACCAATCGACCTGCAGCTTCGAGACTCCAACTCCCAGCATCAACCGACAACTGTCGACCTCCAAACCTCCACCTGCACCTTGCGACCTCCACCAGCCGACACCCATCCGTGGACTTGTTTTCGAGGATCGCGTGGAGGAGCTATTCCAGGAAGAATTGAGAGGTACACAGTGGGATTCTGTAACCCTCAACGAGACATGGCGACGACAGAAACACGAACATTGGTCATCCAAAGATGGGCATCTGTTCATGGGATCTGGATTCGAAGAACAATGCTGCGGAGTTGTTTTCTTGGTACATCAGAAACATGCGAGTGCTATCCGATGCTTCCAACCAGTCAACGAAAGAATATGCTATGCCGATATTATGGTGTCTGGTTTGAGATTGCATATCGTTTCAGTTTTTTTTCCCACATAGCGGATACAGCGACAAGACAGTTCAATCAATGTGCGACATCCTTGCAGATACCCACCAGCATGCCGCCTCGAAAAAGCTCGCCTACATCATTGGAGCCAATTGCAACGCACGGGTGGGGCAACGACAATCCGATGATGACAGACGCACTATCGGTCCATGTGATTATGGCAACGTCAACGTGCGGGGCCAATGGTTGAAGAATCGGGCGTCCACAAAAGATTGCGCATCATTAACACTTACTTCCACAAGCAAACGTGCAACACAACCACGTACACATCGCCCAACAAGGGGCAACGACAAATTGACATCATCCTTGCCAGCAGGCCCATTTGGCGAGCAGCTGCAGACTGCGAGGCACCGACTGACATCGACTTCGGGTCCGACCACAAAGTTGTACGATTCACATTCCGTGCACCAGGGCGACAACGACGCAACAGCAAACAACACACACACACCACTCCAACAGGATGAGCAACGTCGGCCACGACGGAGCCGTCCAGCTTGGCCTCCAAACGACATCTTTGCATACCGGCACTCTCACACGGAAAAGTTGGACGAACTATTATTGTTCGACGTCCGACTCCAGTTACAATGCGAGAACATCGAGGCCACCATCGCCGAAACACTAGTGGAGCAACAACCGCCAGAGCACTCTGGAGCACGCGGCATCCCACAAACGACAACGACCAGCAATATTGCACGATTATTCCGCGACAGACGGGACATACCACCCACCAGCACGACAGCACGAGCACACATCAACAAGATTATCCGCAAAGAACTCAGAGTTGTCAAACGAGCCACTCGCACAGCTGCCATCGATCGAATCCCCACTCAGTTCCGAGATCTGAGACGAAACAGCGGGATTGAGAGCTACAAAGGGAGGGATCTGATTCCAAGCATGGTCGATGCCAGTGGCCAGGCGCAGCACGATTGACGGGCCATAGCTGACGTATTTGCAGATTTGCACGCGAAGCTGTACAGCGACGCGCAGGAAGAAGCAAAGGAGCTCCATGGCCAAAACGAAGTGGATTCGATCCCTCCCTTCACTGACCGCGAACTGTCAGATGCACCGCGCTGGTTGAAAACAAAGCGGGCTCCAGACGCGTACGGGGTCATGGCAGACATGTTGAAAGAAGGCGGAGACACACTCAAGAGAGTCTTGTTGGAGATGCTCAACAGCATTGCGCGCCCTGGTTCGCCCACTCCCAGCAGTAGGAAGCACACGGTTATACATGTGCTGCATAAGAATGGCGACGCAACGCGCCCAGAGAATTGTCGACCAACCGCGAGCATCCAAACTCAGTACAAGCTGTTCTCCAAACGATTACGCAACCGCTTGTGAGATAGATTCGACGACCAGCAGAACGCAGACCAGGCGGGCTTCAGACCCAAGCGAGGAACGACCGACCATTTGTTCAAAGCGACAACTTTGCACGATATTGCAGATGAGTGGCAGGTTCCGCTTTGGAAAGCAGCTGTGGATTTCAAGATGGCGTTCGACTGCATAACACACGCTAGCATTTGGGCATTTCTCAGAGATCAAGAAGTTCCGACTCCATACATTCGGATTCTCCAAAAACTGTACAGCCAACAGACAGGAGCCATCCACATCGACCGTCGCAGCAAACACTTCGACATCGAGAGGGGCACGAAGCAGGGTGACCCACTCAGCTCGCTACATGCCACTTCTACTTCTGAACATGTCATGCGAGTGGTAAAACAGAGTTGGGCAATTCGGCGCTTTGGATTCAAATTGCCACCACGTGGTAGCGATTTGTTGGACAACCTGTGCCGACGACATCTTCTTGATCGCCCACTCCAGCAGCGACGTTGCTACTTTGCTCTCCGATCTCAGCACACAGGCGGCGAAGACAGGACTTCACCTTCACCGTGACAACACCAAAATCTTGCATAGCCGGCACAGAAGCAAGCGAGCGCGACAACCACCAAACCAGGTATTAGTGAACGACATGGAGATAGAAGTGCTGCCCCCATATCGCTGCGCCAAGTACCTCGGACGAGTGCTACAATTCAGCGACTGCCACAAGGCCTAGGTGGAAAGCTGGACTTCCTCAGCGTAGAGAAATTTTCATCGACTCAAACAGCAGCTTACGGGAATGGGCTATTCTTTGGATTACAGAAATCGGCTGTTTCAGGGAACATTACGCCAGCAGTTCTATATGGATGCGAAACACGGACGGTTATTGAAGAGTTGGAGAACCGGGTGTGCAGAACACAGAGACATATATATATATATATATATATATGCTTCGCAGGGTCATCAAAACGCCTCGAAGAAAGAAGCTGCATAAACCAAAAGAAGAGCCTCGACGCCACTCCGACAGCGGCCAGGACGGCGACTACCCAGCAGACAACGGTTCTTCATCTTCAGCCAGCGAACGACATGATGCTGACAACACGCAACCACCTCCAACTGCGAATGACGACCAATTACAGGAAATCGGTGCCCTTGAACCTTGGCCGGAAGTTGGGTCCGTCGTGCAACGCAACAGGCTGAACATCGAATGTCGAAGTTCGGGATTTCATATTGGATTACCACAGTCAAAAAGCGCAAATGGAACCGGATGCGGGAAGTTAATGGCAACAGTGCAAAGAAATGGCCATACCGAATCCTACATTCGGAGCCTGCGAACGATGAGCACTTACCGACGAGACGGCGGGATGGGCGCCAAAAAATCGGATGGTGGGATGACCTTATGATTTACGCCAGGCAGTACTTCCTGGACCCACCGCAACATGTGGCTGGATGATTACGATTGTCAACGACAGGGATGTGGGACGCCATGGAATCTGGCTCTGCAGATCACGGAGGAGAAACGTGTTGACCCCCCCCGACCCCGACTCTTGTTCCCACACCTCCATTTTTCGACTATGGCTGAATTTCCCCAACCCTGGCTCCCAATGCCCGGCTCCGGCTTCTGAACCCATACAGGCGCCCCGGCGCCTTCCCGCCGCACCCTCGTAGGTGCCTCGACGCGGGCTCTTGCTCATTGCTTGCTGGGGGGGGGCTCCGCAGCACGTGCCCCGATGCAGGGCGCAAGAGCCGAGCGACGCCCAAAGGGGCAGCAGGCATCGGGCCCCCCTATATTGGCCTCCCGGGGCAGTAGCCAGGGCGGAAGGAGATGCCGAAGTCCCTCACTCGCGCTCGCTCCTCCGGGAGGATCCGAGGGGGGGCCCTCGTCGCCTCGTCGCTACCGCTGAGTTCGCCTCGAGATCCTGGCCAGATGGCACCGTGAGATTCGTCCGTGGAGTAGCCGTCAATGCCCGAAAGCGGCCCCAGGATACCAAAAATAAAGAAAAACCCGAGGCGACGAAAACGCGTGGCGACGACGACGACGACGACGGCGGCGACGACGACGGCGACGACGACGACGGCTACGACGACGTCGACGGCGACGCCTGTATCGTCCATCTTCATTCATCGAGGACGGGCGGGGATGGGGTTTCCGTCTGTCTTCCGTGGGTGGCTTCCGCCCCGCACGGCGGTGGCGTCCATGCGCCCTGACCACGCAGGGTTTCCTGGCCATCGCTGCTAAGGCGGGCAAGGAGGTAGGAGGAGAGTGTTTTTGTTACCCTCTGGACCATAACGCGCGTCATGCCCACCCCCCCCCCCCCCCCCCCGCTCCCCCCCCCGCAACGCAACGCCCCCCCCGCCCACCCCACGACTGCGTCCTGGCATTGCCGCAGTGCGTCCAGCACCACACGGCCGGAGAGGGGGGCGTCACGTTATGTTTTGCCCCCCCGCCCCCCCCACACAACGCCCGTTATCACCGCGAGTGAAAACATGGGTTCGGGGGAGGGAGGGAGAGGGAGGGAGGCAGGGAGGTATCCTCCTCCTCCTCCTCCTCCTCCTCCTCCTCCCTCCTCCTCCTTCTCTTCTCCCTCCCTCCGCCCACCTCGCTGCACGCACGGCCAGCGTCGCCAGGCTTCTCTCCGGCGGGGGGCATCGGAGCGGCGAGCGCCGAGCGGTGGGGCGGAGGTCTATGCGCTTGCGGTGGTCGCCACTCTTTCGGGCCGGGGTGCGGGGACCCGCGCCGATCGGCGCGGGTCCCCGCACCCCCCCCCCCCTCCCTGCTCCCCCCCGCCCTTCCCCCCCTGTCTTTACCCCCCCCCAGATCTTGGCTGATTTTGCCCCCCCCCCCCCGCCCAAATATTCAAGGTCTTGGCTGCTTTGGGCAGCTGTTCTCTCGCGACTGGTGAGGGACCCCCGCCTGCTCTCGCCACTGGTAGAAGCGGATCGACGAAGCACCGGCCCAGACCCCTCCCCCCCCCTACCCCCCCCCCCCCTTCCGCTCCTCCTCATCCTCCTCCTCCTCATCCTCTTCCTCCTCCTCCGCTTGTGCCGGGCCTGGGGCCCTCAAAAAACAACTCGGGGTTAAACCTTCGACTCGTTGAAGGGGTACAGTCGGAAGGGGCCAGGACGAGGATGACTCCTTTCAAAAGCGTTCCGGAACGCTCTGAGAAGGCCGCGGCGCCAGAGGCATCCTTCACACAGATAGGCGGGACCCGCGCCGCATCCACGACCGGACAGGGCACCCCCAGACCACCGACGTCTTGGTTTTTGTTGCGCAACGTGGGCTAAACTCGGGTAAAGATAAATCTAGCATCTCTGGTTATCACAGATGGCCGCCTGTCAGGTTTTCGATCTCTTTGCCGCCGATCTCAGTTGCGAGGGCCAGAGCGACCAAAAACAGCCCGACCCAGGGGAACCGAACCTGCTTACCACATCCTGGTGGTCGTGCGGCTATGGAACCAGACGCCTCTACTTGCCCAAAGCGAAACGTATGTGTGGGTCTGGGTGGTCCCGACAGCATGCGCGCGAACGGACCCGAGACGGTTGCCTGGCCGGCTGCAGCTTGGGAGGCCTCATTGCCATGCCTTCTGCATCGTGGTGATCGTGGAGTTCTGAAGAGAAATACGCCTGATGGAGGATGACGATTAATAAATGACCGGGGGTCATGTTCACGCGGCGGCGCCCGGGATGACGATTAGAAACAGCCGGCCGCGGGCTGGAAAACTATTTTTTGAATCGTTCTCCTCCAGTCAGAAAGGTGTGCCGAAATAGCAGAAAACTATGTTTTAATCGTTATCTTCCATTTATTATTTATCGTCATCCCGCATTACCCCGCAAAAACAGCAGTTCTATGTGCAGGGTCTCGCCTTTCTGGGCCCGAGCGGGCCCGTGATAACCCACTGGTCGGCACCCCCTTCGGAGACCTGAGTGGTCATGCTTCTTACAACGCTCGCAGTTGGATAGACCTCCTACCCTGACACGTCGATTGAGGAATTAGCCGTTTTCGGTTCGCGAGAGGGCGTCGCGGCCGTCATTTTTGCGGGTCCAGGTCCGTCGGTTTCGGTCCCAGACCGTTTTCACTGAGGGGAGGTTTACTAAAGGGAGGTTTGTCTACCCGCCGAAACGCGACGAGTGTGGGACCTTGAGCAGAGACATGGCGAATTGCGTACCCGCACCAGCGAAATGGCTATTCCCCGAGATAGGTCCTAACGATCTGGGCCCCTTGAGAGGCCACTGCTACATCGCGAGTGTCGCGGGGCTCTGAAAAGAGGCACGTCTTCCCGCCCCATGTTTTTCATTTTCCCGGCAGTCTGGGATCGAACGAGCCAGTGATAACCTTTTGGTTGGCTCACAACTGGGGCGCAAAAAGAACAATGCCTTCTACGTCGCGATGATTAAATGGCTCTGAAGAGATCCACGTACCTGCCCCTAAAAACCAATGACAGCTAGAATTTCAGTTGGAAGGTCCCAACTCTTCGGGCGCGAAAGGGCCCTTGATAGCCTCCTGATCGGCCCTCCCTTGAACGGCAAAAAGCGCAACGCCTGCTACATCGCGATGCTCGTGGGGCTCCTACCCGCTCCGAAGCGACCTTGGCGCGAACTGGCTCGTGGCAGTTTTATGGTCGGCTCCCCACTGGGAGGTCAACGTGCCATGCATGCCCAATGGCAGTCAAGTCTGCATATACATGAGGCAGTGGATCTGTGGCGAGTCCTGTTGTGAGCGAGTCCGAGTGCGAGTAAGGCTGAGTATATAGGCTGGTCTGAGCGTGACTGTGTCTCATTGTGAACGGGTCTGAGAGCGAGTGAATCTGAGCATGAGCGGTTTCTGAGTCTGAGTGGGATTGGGTCTGGGCAAAGGTGGATCTGAGTCCGAGTATAGGTGCTAATGGGTGTGAGGTTGCGCGAACACAGGCGTGAGCAGGACTGAGTGTGTGCAGCTGGCTGGCTCTGGCCGTGGGAGAGCCTGCGCATGGAGCAGCGGAGGGAGGCGGGGGCGAGGGGGCCAGGGAGTGCGGAGGCGTAGTCGTGGTACCCCTCGCTCGCGTGCCGGCGCCGGCGGAAGGGAGAGGCCATTGGCTTGGGCACGCCACCGGGGAAGTCGATTGGAGGGACAAGGAGAGGAGGAGGAGGAGGTGGAGAAGGAGGAGGAGGAGGAGGGGGAGGAGGAAGAGGAGGAGGAGGAAGAAGAAGAGGAAGGGGGAAGGCGAGGATGAGGTGCGCTACCATCGACCTCTGTAGGCTTAGATCTTTTTCCCGGGAGCAGCTTCTCACCCTGATCGTCGGCGAAATCCGAACCCTACCCCCGCCGATCAACCAGTCAGGCAACTCGGCGCGGCAGTGTTCGGAATTCGTCGATCACGTGGCGCAAATCGAACTCTGCCCCGCCTCCCTTCGATTGAGGAGAATCGATGGTTGGTGGGGGTAGGGTTCGGATGTCGCCACCTACCTGAGTCGTCTTTGACAGCCGCGGGGCCCGGTAAGTGGTCACCAGAGGCCGAACAAGGCAAGAAGCCTTCGCTGTGGTTGTATTCCGACGCGACGGCGTCTAAGAATCAGGATCGCTGCCGTCTCCCGCGCGTACCCCCTGGCTGCGCTGCGGGTGACGGGCGGGAGGACGATGGCAAGGAGAAAGAGGAGGACAATGAGAGGAGGACGTGGAGGACGAGGAGGGGGAGGAGCAGGAGGAGGAGGAGAAGGAGGAGGAGGAGGAGGAGGAGGAGGAGGAGGATAGCTGCCGTCCCCCGCGCGTGCAGTCGAAACTGCTAGCATGGATTATCGACGTTTCAAGGACACCCTTGCATCCTTGCCTCTTCGGTCAGTCCATCCTCAACCACCTTCGATTGCTGGCCCCCGCTCGAAAAGCTCCTGCATGGGCGTCCAAGGCCCTTGCAGCCTTACCGCGTATCCGTACTATCAGTTTGACTGTATCCCCTCGCTGCGCTGCCGGTGCCGGGCGGGAGGACGAGGGCGAGGAGGAGGAGGAGGAGGAGGAGGAGGAGGAGGAGGAGAGAGGAGGAGGAGGAGGAGGAGAGGAGGAGGAGGAGGAGGAGGAGGAGAGAGCAGGAGAGAGGAGGAGGAGCAGAGGAGGAGGAGGAGGAGGAGGAGGAGATGAGGACAACGAGAGGAGGAAGAGAAGGAGGAGGAGGAGGAGGAGGAGGAGGACGACGACGAGGAGGGGGAGGAGGAGGATCGCTACCGTCCCCCGCGCGCACCGCCTCGCCGCGCTGCCCGTGCCGGGCGGGAGGACGAGGCTGAGCGGCCCGGGCCTGCCGCTGGCACTCCCGGGGGCGCCGGCGGCGCGCCGCCGTGGCGCCAGGCGCCCAGCCAGCAGGCGGGGCGCCCGCGAGGGCCGGCTGCGCGTCGGCGCGGCCCTTCGCCAGAGGGGCCTTCGCTGTTCAGGTAGGCAACTATCGGGTCCCAGGCATGATCGTGTCCTTACAAAAAGATCACGGCGGGAGGTTTTTGGCTGTTTCCGGCCTCTGGAGGCCCTCGCTGGGCCTCGGGGCCGTCGAAAAACGATTTAGGATGAGAAGCCGGTCCCGAGGAACGGGTCGGGACTTCGGGGGACCGCGCATTGAAAAAATCAGGACCTCGCGGGGTTGGGAGGATGGGATTGGGAGAAATAAGGATATCCTTACCCAAAGGCGGCCGAAGGTGTTGGTCATTGCGTCCGGATGCTCTTGCTCCTTCTCTTCATCCTCCCAAGCCGTTCGTCCCAACACGATCATTGTTCTCCTCATCGTTGTAAGCCCGGACGTCAGCCTCCCGAGTTCCAGTCGGACCTCGTGCGACGACGCTGACTACGAAGGGACGCTGGCACGAACATGCGATGCGGGCACATGGCAGAGATGTATCGGCGAAGGGCGGACAACTTGCGCTGAGGGCTCTGGCCCCCAGGCGCAGGCCCTGAAGGGCCCCGCCCCCGGCAGTACCGCGCGCTCGCCTCGCCTCGCCTCGACCGCGATGGCGACGGCGACGGCTTTAGCAATTCTCGGCGGCGAGCGAGGAGGGGACGTAAAATGGAGAAGGCCCTCTCAGGAGGCCGCTGGGCTTCTCACAAGCCCTTCGGCCTTCGGAAAAGTCTTCTGCGTCGAAGGTTCAGGCAATTTCTGAAAAAGCCAGGGGACTTCGAGAAGGCCCACCCCTTATCACTTCCCCCCTGTGCTCGCCGCCGAAATTCCATGGAGCCGAGCACATCCTCGAAATCCCGCTTTTGCAGTGCATTGGAGTGCGTTAACGTCTGGTATTCGATGAGGAAGCTCCGACTTAGCGTCGACTAGCATGGATCTGCGCCGATTTTGCAACGACAAGCATCGATGAGCGTCGATTCGCAGGAGCCACGAAGATGGTACTGGATGCTCCCATGAATTGCCGCAGAAGACGGCGACGAGGACGACGACCGCAACCACGGCGGCGTCGGCGACGATGACGACGGCGGCGATGGCGACGGCGACGATGGTGACGGCAGCGGTGAGCCGCGCCTCCTGGGAACGAGGGCCCAAGCCATGACGCATCAGCACGAGGGAAACCCAGATCTCTCTCGAAGAAGGAAGCAACATGAACATAAGCTTTTGGCGCTCCGCGCGGATTTCTTGGATCCGCGCTGGGCCCCCCTGGCGGTGCCTCCAGCCCCGCACCTGGCACGCTCCGCGCGCCAGAGAGGGGGGTCCAGCGCAGATCCAAAAAATCCGCGCGGAGCGCCAACAGATAATTTTTATGTTGTTTTTTCTTTCTCATGGTTCTAATGAAGCAACAGCACGAGGGAAGCCCAGATCTCCTTGAGATCCGGGCAATGCACTTGTTCACACCAGGCGTTTTCGCCGGTCTCGGGCCCAAGGGCCCTCACGGATCGATCCGGCTCGAGAAGTGGCGCAGAAAACATGGTTTGGGGCTCGTGTCGTGATTCTTTTCTGCTCGCGAGCGACGCGGTCAGCCGCGCGCCGTCAGTAAAGTCGAGAGAGTAGCGCAAGCCCTGCTGTCGCAAGTGTGATGCGGAAAAGGGGCCACGAGGGTGGCGAAAGCTATAAAGCGGAGACAGAGGCAGGCGAAGCGAAGAGGCGACGAAAGGAGAACACGACAGAGAGAGTGTCGTGATTCTTCGCGATGCTGCGTTTTTCCGCAACGGCGGACCTCGGCATCGCGCGCCTGGATTGGTGTCCCACGCCGCCCCCCCCCCCCCCCAGCCGCGCAGCGAGGGCCGTTCTTGAATAGGGTAAGTGTTGGGGGCAGCCTTAAGTTGGGTCTGTCTCTCTACAGGAGGGATATTCACAAATAGTCAAAATTATCCCGGCAAAGCAACCAAACAGCGATGTGTATAAGAATCTCTGGAAGCACTCCCTTTAATCTTCACCTTGTCTCAGCTTCGGCCTGCCTCGGCCTCATCCTCAGCCTCAGTCTCAGCCTCAGCCTGTCTCGGCCTGAGCCTGCCTCGGCCTCAGCCTCAGCCTGCCTCAGCCTCAGCCTGCCTCAGCCTCAGCCTCAGCCTGTCTCAACCTCAGCCTGCCTCAGCATCAGCCTCAGCCTCAGCCTGCCTCGGCTTGCCTCGGCCTCAGCATCAGACTGCCTCAGCCTCAGCCTCAGCCTCAGCCTGCCTCAGCCTTAGCCTCAGCCTGCCTCAGCCTCAGCCTGCCTCAGCCTCAACCTCAGCCTGCCTCAGCCTCAGCTTGCCTCAGCCACAGCCTCAGCCTGCCTCAGCTTCAGCCTCAGCCTCAGCCTGCCTCGGCTTGCCTCAGCCTCAGCCTCAGCCTGCCTCCTCAGCCTCAGCCTGCCTCAGCCTCAGCGTCAGCCTCTCAGCCTCAGCCTGCATCAGCCTCAGCCTCAGCCTCAGCCCGCCTCAGCCTCAGTCTCAGCCTGCCTCAGCCTCAGCCTCAGCCTGCCTCAGCCTCAGCCTGCAGCCTCAGCCTCAGCCTGCCTCGGCGTGCCTCAGCCTCAGCCTCAGCCTGCCTCAGCCTCAGCCTGCCTCGACCGCCTCAGCCTCAGCCTCAGCCACAGCCTCAGCCTCAGCCTCAGCCTGCCTCAGCTTCAGCCTCAGCCTCAGCCTGCCTCGGCTTGCCTCATCCTCAGCCTCAGCCTGCCTCGGCCTCAGCCTCAGCCTCAGCCTGTCTCAGCCTCAGCGTCAGCCTCTTAGCCTCAGCCTGCATCAGCCTCAGCCTCAGCCTCAGCCTGCCTCAGCCTCAGCCTGCCTCAGCCTCAGCCTCAGCCTGCCTCGGCCTCAGCCTGCGCCTGCCTCGGCCTCAGCCTGCGTCAGCCTCAGCCTCAGCCTGCCTCAGCCTCAGCCTGCCTCAGCCTCAGCATCAGCCTGCCTCGGCGTGCCTCAGCCTCAGCCTCAGCCTGCCTCGGCCTCAGCCTGCCTCGGCCTCAGCCTGCCTCAGCTCGGGCATTCAAAATATGGCACAGGACTTGTGTTCTGGGAGCACGAAGATCACGAAGTGGCCCACAGCTGGCTCCGGGCAATCAAAATATGGTACAGGAATGGTGTTCTGGGAACACGAAGAAGACGAAGTGGCCTACAGTTGGCTCCGGGCATTCAAAAAGTGGCCTGGGAATGGCGTTCTGGTAACACGAAGAAAACGAAGTGGCCTACAGTTGGCTCCGGGCAATCAAAATATGGTACAGGAATGGTGTTCTGGGAACACGAAGAACACGAAGTGGCCTACAGTTGGCTCCGGGTATTCAAAATGTGGCCTGGGAATGGTGTTCTGGGTAGACGAAGAACACGAAGTGGCCTACAGTTGGCTCCGGGCATTCAAAATGTGGCCTGGGAATTGTGTTCTGGGAATGGATTCCGAAGGATTCCTAAGAATTCCTAAGGATTCTGAAGGATTCTGAAGGATTCCTGGGGCTGCCAGATTTGTCCGGATCCCGCCCAGACCCCCCTGGGGCGTCAAGATGCTTTCTTCCGTAGCCATTTTGGCTCAAGCCATTTTGGCTCAAGTTGCCATCTCTCGAGGTGGCGCAGGGCCAACCGCGCGCTCCAGGACTGGCCCGGCCCGCGTCTCTGGGGTCAGCCTGCGAGCATCTCGTTTGCTGTGAGCACCTGGCGGTGCCACACTCTGTACGCAACATTCTCTCTCAGAAGCAGTTTGCCAGTACGGCCCGTCCTCCGCAATGGCGAAGGCCACTGGGCCAGCGGCGTGGGTTCAGTGTGAGAAGTGTGGCCCACGCTCTTGGACACCTATGGCTAGCGGCAAGCTGTGGTGTCACATTTGCGGGCTCTACTACAACAAGGGTGATCAGCCTCAACGTGGAGCCCGTCGCCGCAAGGGCGGTGGCAAGTGCGCAGGCGGCGGCATGGGCGCGGGCGGCGCAGGCGGCGCCGCAGGGCTCTCCAAGCAGCAGCTGGACGCCATCGCCAAGCAGGTCACCGCCATCGCAGCGGCCGCCAAATCAGCCCAGCCGCCAGCAGCAGGCAGTCCTGCCGCAGGCGCAGCGCCTGGCCACGGGAAAGGTTCGCGTGGCACGGGCAAGGGCAAGGACACGGCAGCGCCCACGTCAGAGGCGCCCGCCACCAACGACAAAGACAAGAAGATCGAGCAGCTCGAACTTCTCGTCAGCACCTACCAGCAGATGGACGCCAACGTCGTGCCTGATGTGGCTGCCAAGCTGCAACAGGCCAGAGCTGACCTGGTGGACGCGCGCGCGGCGCAGGCAGCCAGCCTGCCGCCTGCGCAGCGCATGGCGCGCTGCCACACCCGCGTGCAGCGCGCGGCCGAGAAGGTTGAGAAGATCAAGCACCAGATATCAGAGCTGGAGAATACCAAGCAGGAGCTGCAGCTGCAGCTCGACGCCACCATCCAGTCCATGGAAGAGCAGAAGAAACGACTCGAGCAGGCCCAGGAGGACCAGCAGCGCGAGGAGCAGGACGCCAAGTCAGTCTGGGCAGACACTGCCCCAGATGAAGGACCTGGATCGCTCGCGGAGTTCACCAAGACGTCCAAGGCCAAGATCGCGGAGGCCAAGACCAAGTTTGCGGGCAACGCAGACATCCTCAAATTCATCAATGACATGGCCAGCATGGTGGGGGCCCTGCCTGAGAAGGCAGCACCGCCGCCCCAGCCATCTGCATCGATTACGGATACCCCGATTTTTGATTCTGATTTCTTCAAAGCCGAGATGGAATCCCTTGCTAAGCACCTGCCGAAGAAGGAGCTCGAAGCCCTGCAGAAGGCCCGTGCGACGCACCAGGACCAGCAGGCCGCAGCCGCGCGCCAGCTGGGCGGCCCGTCGAGCAAGGGAACTGGCAGCGGACGCGGTCACCGCCCGTATGGGTGACGGCCCTACACCGATTTCGAGGACAGCATCGACAGAGCGCTGTGCAACGGCGACATGCGG